GAGGGGGAGGGGAAGAGGGGGGGTTGGGATGGGAAGGGCACACAGGACATGATTTCTATTTGCAAAGCCTGCGACCTGCAGTGACTACAGTGCCTTCCCCCGCTCCCCCCAGTTCCTGACATCCTGAGTGTGTCTGCGAGAACACAATGAGCCCCTGAGGAGTGTGCATGCACTCGCTGAGGAAACGGCTGGCGGCTTCTTCCGCCCAGCCCCACGCCCCACGGAGCTTGCACGCAGCACTGAGACGATGGGCATGTCTGCGGAGGATGAGCACACCGTGAGCCCCAAAGGTAATGGGGACAGCGCGGTCCCCCACGGAGCTGGCATCCTGGGCAGGGGAGGGATACAATTACTGGCAGTGCATCTCCAGGGCTAGGGGCTCTCAGTGATGCCTGTGCTCCCCCAGCCTCTGCCCAACCATCTGATGGACCTTTTCCCCATGCCAGGCACAATGCCTTCTGCCTTTGGGTGGGTGGAAGCCCAGCCCTGCTTCCTGGCAGTGATAACCACAGCAGGCTGGGATCATCCCTTGCTGCGCAGGGTGATCTCCCCTCCTTCCTGATGAGCTGCCCATCTTTTTAGCACTTACTGGGGACAGTGCTACCCGCCGCACAGCTCTTCCCCAAACCTGCTGCTTTCCCCTGAAGTCCACGGGCCCAGTGCAGACAGGCTCATCAGGAGCATGGGACCCTAGCTCGGGGCTAGGTGATGTCCCTGTGGGGCTATGGAGGGTCCCAAGCTGGGAGAGCTTCTGGAGAAGGGAGAAAACAATGAATCCAGGTGCTGGGGATGGGGGTGAGCATGTGATAATTGTGCCAACTCTCAGCCCCAGTCCTGGAAAGATGGCCACTGGCATGTCTTCATACCCTGTACCAGGGCCAAGGCAGGACACAATGGCTGGCCCCACACAGCTGCAGCCAGTGCCTGTGGGAGACTGAAAAGTCCAGGAGCCTCCTGGCCTCACCTCAGTCTGACTCTGCCTTCAGTAGTGGAGCTGCCCAGGCAAGGGTGGCCCCAGGGCCCTCTAAATCAACCCCTCTGGGGACTCCTTCATGCAGAGAGACTGTGCAAGCTGTCGCCCCTCCATTCCTTCTGCTGACTCATTGCTGAGGACTCAGCCCTGCCAAGGCCTTCCCAGGTGGTGTGAGATCCCTCCCCCACCGGCCAACAAGGGGACACACTCCCAACTTTGGTGACAGCCTGAGCTGACAGGGCAGTTGGCAGCTCTTTGGGGTAGTCCTCTGCCATGACTGCTGCATGGCCTCCGACCTGTGTCACTGGGATCCCTCTTGGGGCCCTCCCGGAAGGGCCTGCTTGCTGCTGCCTTGTCTGGCTTCCCACATCTGTGTGTGCTAGAACATCCGCTTGTGGCCGGTTTCCTGCCTCTGGCCCTGGGGGCCCTTCCTGCCCCACAAGGAGAGGCACATTTCACTCATTAACCCCGGCTTCACCCCCAGATGAGGAATGGCCAGAAGTGGAGAAGGCTGAGAAGTTAGCAAGAGGAGCTGCTCTGAAATGGGCTTCAGGGGTGTTCTACTGCCCCGAGAAACTAGAAGGGCTTGGGCAGTACCGGAGCCGGGAAACACAGAGGAACAGCTCCATCCAGTCCCGGCTGAAGGTGGGTGTTTGCCACATCCCACCTGATGAGCACACACAGCTTGACTCTCTTCCCATGCAGGGATCCCAGCCAGGGTCTGGTCTTCTGCATCAAATCACTTTTTTTGCACTTCTGGAACAATCTTGTCTTTGTGCTGGCTTTTGATGGGAGAAATGCTGTTGTTGGGGGGGGAAAGAGCCAGGAGAACCCCCTCCTGCCCTAACCCTCTTGGTTGCAGTGTGGTTAAAGTGCTAAAATGGGATTCCTGCATCTCTCTCTGTAATTAGAAGCAAAATACCAAGGATATCCAATGCATCCCATGTGCAGAAACCAGTGCTCCCTGTTGCTTCCCTATCCCAGCACCAAGGGCTCCCTTTCTCTATGGCTGGGAGGAGGTGAAGAGCTCCAGCCTGCCCCATCCCTGCCTGCAAATCCGCACAGGAGAAACAGTATTTTTACACAGAGATAAGGGATTTAACTGGTCACTGTGCATGCCTACCTGGTCAGGGTGACTCTATGATCCTTTTTTATATGACCTCAAGAAACACTGACCTCAGGACGTGAGTGGTCTGAGCACCTTGGACCTTGTCCTGGCTATCCTGATTTCGGAGATGGTTTATCCTGCCCTAGTTGTGGGGAAATTGTCCAGGAGAGGACTAATTTTAAGTAATGTGGCTTCAGAGAAAACCTGTTTCTGTCAATGCTGGGTAAAAATGCTTCTTCATATCAGAAGCCAGAGGTGAAAGGGGCGGAGAGAGCATGGAGACGTACCAGTGCCACTGGAGGGCTGAAAAGATGGAAATCCATTTTGGAGGAACGTTTGTGTGGCCACTGAGGTGTTTCGTGCCATTAATCTGTCTCGGGGGCGCAGTGGGGACCTGTGTCCTGCAAATATTTTAGTATTATTTTAAAGCTGAAAGCAGACATCTGGGCCATTCCTGTCACTGGAGCAAAAGGGTGAAATGGGCCATTCCTGTTGCTGGAGCGGGTTTCTTGGGGCTGGGTGTACATGGGGAGAGCAGGAGCTGTGGGATAGGGACATTGTGGGAGATGTGGGAGATGTGGCAGCATAATGAGAGAGGCAGATGCAACCTTGTCGGAGTGCAGACCACGTGCTGCAGAGGCCTGGCAGGGCTGGAACAAAGGGTGTGCGAGTCCCCCATCCTTTGAGAGCTTCCCCATTGCTCCTTCATCCTCTTCTGCTCCCCAGTCGACTGTCCAGTCCTACCTGGAGGGAGTGAACGCAGGGCTGCAGCAGCTGCGGTCAGCGGCCGAGGAGGTGCAGAGTGTGTGCCAGGACTTGGGGGCTGCACGGTGGGCCCTGCTCGACAGTGCTGACCACTTCCAGGTCTTGCAGCAGATGCGGGCACTGATGGCGGAGCATGTGCAACTGGCCTCAGTGGTAAAGGTCCTGCCCCAGCTATTCTCAGGTAAGGTATTCACCCAGTCCTTGGGGGTTTTGGCTGAAAGGCACTTGGGAGTGCTCAAGTGCAACTCTGGCTTCATGCAGGGAGAGCCCCTTTGCTCTTTGGTGGCAAAGTTAGAGCAGGTTGCTCAGGCCTTGTCTGGTTGGGTTTGGAAAGTCTCTGAGGATGGAGATGCCACTGCCTCCCCAGAACCTGTCCCAGCACTGTTTTCGCGGAGCCCCAGGTCTCAGACCCTTCTTCTTGGGATCTTCCTGCGGATGCCCACAGCCCCAGCGCCAATCCCCTTCAACTCCAGTGCTCAATCTTGTCATTTCTCCTCCCTCTCCCACAGTCCATGAAGTTTTTTCCCATACCCTGCAGCTGCTCCACGAGCAGCACCTCCTGGAGGCCCATGCTGAGCTCATGATGTTGGAGCACCTCCGGGATGACATCCTCTTCCAGCTGCACCTCCATGGACTCTCCAGTGCCCAGGCCACTGTGCTGTCCTACTTCAGTGGCCTGCAGGAGCTCAACGAGACCCTGGCCAAGCAGCTGTGGGGCATCGTGGGTCGTAGCCTTCAGCTGGTGAGGGAGGACCCAGTCCTTTTCGTCTCCGCTGTAAGGATCATCGAGCGGGAGGAGAAAATAGATGACGCTCTGCTCCTGGACGCCACCTTCCTGCCCCCTGGCCGCCCCAAGGGCTGGAGGCAGAAGTTTTACCATATCCTCCAGGAGACCATCACAGGATCCCACTTCCACCCTGCCTGTGTGGACACCACAGGCCCAGGGCTGTCCAGACACCTGGCAGCACTGCAGAGGGATGTCGTGGCTGAGCTGCATGTGGTAAAGGACCTGATGGTACAGTGTGTCCCAGCTCACTACAACATCCTCAGCATCTGCACTGCCATGTACCACCAGGCCCTCACCAGCCACCTCCAGGACATCCTCCAAGAGGACCTGGACAAACAGGCGCTTTTCCTCCTCCTTGAGTGGGTGCTCCATGTGTACCACAGGTCAGTGCTAGTGCTGGCCCTGTGAGCAGAGAACATACATGGAGCTGGGTTGTGTCACTGGCATGCAGGCAGGCCAGAAGAATGGCTCTGAGTGCCTGGGGAAGAACACCGGGAGGGCAGAGGGAGAGGCAGGAACTGCTCTTCCCAATCCAGGGACCAGTCTTCCCAATCCTGTCCCACTTCTGTCTTCCAGCCCAGAGATGATGAGTCACCCTGGCCTTCTCCCAGAAGTGGACATTTCAGCTCTGGGCCCCTTGATGTCTCCTGACCTTGTAGATCAGACAGAGAGGAAATACGTGCTGAAAGTCAAGGTAGGTGAGCAGGGTTGCGTGTGTACAATGGTGGGAGGGGGACACAACCAGGGGCACTATGCCAGCTCCCACAGCAGCATGAGCCCCTGACCTGTGGGACAAGGCCCTTGAGGCTTTTGATGTGGTGCTAGCTATGCTATGCTATGTGTTGAGTCTGAAGGGAGTTGGTACCTGACTCCCTGGGCTGGCCATGGTGAGTGTCTGTCCTACAGGCCAGCGTGCTTGAGTGGATGCAGAGAACCCTGGAGGTGGAGTTCAAGGAGTGGTTCAGGGAGGAAGAACCTGAGATGGACCACCAGGGCTTCTTCCAGTCAGCCCTGCCTGTAATTGTCATGCAGGTGGGTCCCCAGCACTGCAGGCTGGCACCAGGCACCTCACTGCATCCACCTGGTGCTGGGGCTTGTCCAGGGCCACATTATGCTCTCTGTGGCTCTGAGAGGTGGCCAGGCTCTCCTCTCTCCCAACCAAGCTGTCACCAAGAGAGGGGTGGATATGCAATGCTCCCTGAGGGGCAGGTGGGGCAGGGTCATGCTGAGAGCTCCCCAAAAAGGGGGCCGTGGCTCGCAGCCTCCCATTGATCTACACCCTGCCCTCCTCTCCCTCTGCAGATGCTGAATGAGAATATCCAGGTGGCCTCCCTGATAACAGGCTCTCTGCAGCAGAAGGTCTACAGCATGGCCATGGAGGAGCTTGAGGCATTTCTGGGCCAGTGAGTGGAGCCCCTCATGGCCCTGGCCATCCTCACAGCCTCCAGGCCTCCACACCCTGGCACCGCAGGCTGGTGCCCGAGATCTACTGTGCGGTGCCCAGTGCTGATCCAGGTCACACTGGGCTCCAACGCCAATCTTCCAGGACCTTATGGGACAATTATCTTGTTTCCAGGGGCCATTAGCTTCAGGGGACCTGCTGTTCCAAGCACCTCTCTGGTAGCACTGAAGCCTGCCCAGAGGAGTCCAGAATGGGTTCCTTAACCTGCCCTGCCCAATGCCCTGTCTCTCTCCAGCCTGCAGCAGGGCCTGGGAAGAGCCATAAAAGCTGGGAGAATTGTGAGAGGCCTATGTGCCTCCAAGGGTTGCAGGGGCATCCTGAGTCCAGGCACTTGTGGATAGATGTCTGGGGCTCTGCCCATCATGGTTCCCTTGCTGTGTTGCAGTCTGCGGGAAGCCCTAGTGCAATGTGGGAAGGAGCACCAGAGGGACCGTACCATACCCAAGTACTACATCCCCTACCTGCTCGCTGTGCTCAACAACAACCTGGCTCTCAGGTAACATGCCCCACTTTCAACCACCCTATGGCTGCCTCCCAGAGCTACCCTGCTACCCGCAAGGCCATATCCTCCCCAGCCTCCTGCCAAGCTTCCTGCAGGGCCAGTGTCCCCACTGTGGTTCCCAGGCTGCCTATCCCCCTCTTCTCTCTCTCCTAGCTCCTCTGTCCGCTCTCTGCACCCTGATACGGCCCACAGTGAAGTCCCTGTGTCCCTCCGGGCCGCTCTGGACAGGACACAGAGGAAAGTCTGCCAGCTGCTGCTGGAGGAGCTGCTCCTGGACCTGCAGGTATGTGTGTCTGCAGCTCCAGAGGCTGGCAGGACTGAGACAGCCCAGTCCCCCAAAAGAGCAGCACCACTGCAACACCCCCAGGCCTGTTCCTGCCCACAATACCTTTCACATTCCCTGTCTCATCAGGCTGCATCTGGCCTGCTATGACCCTGCATATCTCTCTGCTGGCCTGGCTCCCTGGGCCCTAGTAAACTGCAGGCAGTTCACATTGTGCCTTCTGCCAGCCAGCACTGTGCTGTATCACTAGGGCACGCAGCGAATGGCCCCCAAACCAGTAACTTATACAGACTGGGAGCCACAGCCCACCTGAGCTTCCTCACTCTTGTTTTTATGGCTGTTTCATGGCAGAAAACCAAACAGGAGAGAGGCAATGGCTGCGTGGAGGATATGGGCTAATGTGCAACTGCCCGAGTCGTTTCCTGCCAACATAGTCAAATTTAGCATCCCTGGAAGCTGGACAAAATCTGGAAAAAATAAGGCAGTGCTATTTAGTGCTGGAAGGTGCATGCTGTGAAAACAAAGGAGCAGCTAAAGGATGAAATACTCACAGGCAACACGGAGACTGCCATGGCCCCAGCTGAGCTTTGTGCCTCCAGACACGGAAAGGGCA